TTTTTAATTCAGCTGGTACTTTCAAAGACCTCTGTCTCATCATCAGGCTGTATTTTTCCTTTAGATTCAAAACTGGAAGACGAAATAAATGTGTTTGCAGACCGAAAGATGTTTTTTAAGAATGAGCGATTTATTAACGGTTGTGTAATGTTGAGTGTGCAAGTCGCAACGCTAAAGATCAAATATTTCAAGTGAGAATTTTTATATGAATTTTGTAATTTGGTAAATCCACGATGTTTTTTATTATAAGTGTTATATGTCTGTTTTATTATATATATCTATATATATATATATATATATATATATATATATATATATATATATATATATCGGTTCCGGTTATTACCATGAAATATATCAGATACATGATACATTGAGAGAAAATGCCGGTCCGCCATATCAGATAGTTTGAGAAGCACTGGTCTATTTAGTATGCGATCCAAAACTGCTTCCAAGTCATTGCTAGGTTCCTAGTACTCTAGGTAAATAACCTGTTCAGCATATTCAATAGTGGCGTATATACACACGGTTCTTTTTTTTTATTCGACGTCAGTCGATATCATAGAGTCCACAACCTTGTGTATCCCCAGTTAATTGTGAACTCTGTAATCTTTACAATGGTTCTGTCGTAAGTGCCTAATCGGGGTTACATACCCAATGTCTCAAGTTTGGATAGTTCTTTGCTAAATAGAGAATGATCTCTATCTATCAAAGTTTAAATTAATATTTAAACCTACCTTAGACGGGAGGAAGAAAATAGGCCAGAACAAAAATTTGCTATTGCTCTAACCACAGACCATTTCATTCTACCTGCAATAAAGTGAGATTTATGATTTCGTCTTATTTGTGCCATGCCTTTTCCGGATGTAGGCGATCATGGCTCTCCACGGTTTCCTATCCGTTGTAGCTCTTAGAAAGGTTTGTCACTTCACCCTCTTTATAAATCATTGTTCTTCCATCCATTTACACAAGCTCGATAAGTGGGCTAATCGGTGTTTCCTTCTGTCTCTCATGCCTTAAGCATGTCCTGTGAATATCAAATTCTCCAAGTCCACTTTCCTCATTATGTCCTATAGATTTCACCCGTCTTTCAGATTCTAAATACAAGAGACATTTTTGTTTCCATTTAATAAAAAAAACAACTTCCCAGTTATTCACATGTTCCGTCTATAGCATTCTCAGCGTCTTTATGGAGAACCGCATCTCTGTTGTCTGAAATCCTCTCTTCATCCGTGTCTATCATCCACTGCCATATAGGGTGCTTGGCATTCTTTCTTTTTTAAGTGCCATTTCCTTTCAGGATGTAGGCGATCATGGCTCTCCACCCCCCTCTATCCCTTGCAGATCTCAACAAGTTCCTTCCATCTGCTTCCTTCCCCAGACCACGTTCTGTTATCCACTTGCTCAAGCCCGCCAGGTATGTTTTCCCTAGTCTCTCTTTCCCTCTATTCGACCCGTGATTATCAGATTCTCCAGGCCCTTGGAACGCATATTTGACATTCCCAATGCTTCTTCGGATTTCGGTGCCACATTTTGTTATAATACTTCCCAGATATGTACATTTTTCTACTTGTTTGACTCACGTCTACATCTCTGGGATGAAGCATTATGATTACTTAAATTATTTACATTATTCGGACTATTATCCTCATCTTCATTGCCACATGGCCCGGTGGATAAAGACGTTGATTAGATCCAGTGGCTAAACCCAAAGAGTTGTGAGTTCAGTACCAGGCTACAAAGGCTGGTGAACAAAACAAACAAAAAAATCTTGGAGAGTTTTGTTAAAGGGAAATAACTGAGACATCCGCAAGAGTCATGTCCCGTGGAACTAGAACAATTTACTCTAATGGGCGAAATAAAGGGTTCAGTTCGAAATTCCAATCACTTGAAGAAGGCCGGAACGTACAACGGCCGAAACGTTGTGAATATGGTTGTTTGATTCTGACGTATCCTACTTGCTGTTTAATTATGCCGTTCTCGAAGAAAATTGTTCGTTATTTCGATCCTTTCTCAGTGCTCCAATTTAAAAATTAAAAATCGGCCCCAAAACAAATGTCACTGTCAAATTTCGACTATTTTACATTAACAATGAAAATCAGGTACAAACCTTTTTCAATGAATTCGACACTCACTGAGTTAAATATTAGCAAGACCTTGTGTCAAACAGATTGCGAAATCGTTTACGTAAGAAAAGAGCTATAAGGAACGGGTTTAAGTCTTCCTCGTTAAAGAGGAAGACTTAAATTCGTCCCTTATAGTTTTTTCCCCCACAAACGAAACATCACAATATGATCACTTCTTCTATGACAAATATTTTCAGGAGCTCCATTTTTAGTGCCACCAACTCAGGCCTTTACTGCTAAGAAACGCCTTACCACGACCATAGTGTTGAATCACCCTAATACTCTTTGTATTGCTTTATGTAAGTAGGGTGTTCCACCCTGAAAGCTTCTTGTGAATTGCTGCTTTGTGGAAGATTCTAAATGTTTCCCTTAAGGCTAAAATTTATTCTCTTGAATTCTAGTGTTAATCGCTATCTATCCGTCATATCCTCGTAACATTCACTTCCTCAGTCCTCCTTCCTCTCATGCCTTTTGAATAGGCGTAGGGTTTTTATCCCTGGTTTCCGGTTCTTTCTAAAGTCAACTCTATACTTCTAACGTCTCCGCCTTAAACTCTGGACTTTTATTTACAATGGATTTACCTTTATTTTTTCATTAAGAGTAGATTTTGCCTATCGTCTGTTTTGAATAGGTTTATCCTTTATTTCCTGTTTAGAGTTGGGTTTCCGCTTTCTTCTCTTTTACTTCCGGTGGTCCATTGCGCCTTATCGCCTTGCTCGCGCTAAATTGATTACAAAAAATTAAGAAATGCAGATCTGCTTCTTTTCTGAATAACATGAAGATTTTTGGACAAGATTAAAGGTTTATCCTTTATTTCTTGTTAGGGTTTCAATTTCCTTTTAAATCCTTTTCCTTCTCTTTTACTCTTGGTGACATTATCTCCTTCTTTGGGGGGGCACCTCTTACTCTGGAAAATGGGCTATTTACTCGGGATTTAATTGTACGATTCTTAGTAACGTCTCGAAGAAAATTGTTCATTATAGGCCTATTAAGGAGCGAACATCATTGTAAAAAAATCACATACATCATTCATTAAGCATCTACCCTGAGTGGTTCATAGGCCTTGTATTGGGTGAAAATTAGTTTAAAAAAATGTACTTTTACATGCCTTCTCATAGGATGCTTCATGCAAAATCACGCGAGTTTGCTTCTCTCTAATGTGTACTTTTCTAAAAAACACTGAAAGATACAATCTCTCCCAAGAATGGCGTGTACTTAAGATCGAATTCATACGAATGTCTTCTTGGATATTACACGAAAACTGCCATTATATATATATATATATATATATATATATATATATATATATATATATATATGTGTGTGTGTGTGTGTGTGTGTGTGTGTGTGTATGTGTGTGTGTGTGTGTAAAAATATATAGAAAATAGGAAAGAACTCGTTAGGTAAATAATCCAAAGTTCTTTAGTATTTTTGTTATCATTTTAAAAAATAGTGCTCAATACAAGTAGAGCAAAAATATAATTATTTATTTAAAAAAAAAAATAAATTTATATATATATATATATATATATATATATATATATATATATATATATATATATGTAAGTATTAGATTGGTGTATACGGAATAAATACCAAAACCAAAAACACTATTCTTAAAAGAGTGCTCAATGCAGAGTAGAGCAAATATAATTTATTAGAAAATTATAACACAAATATGTTATAAAATCACTACAAAAATAGGCATTTTGTTTCAACACTTCTAGTGTCTGATCAAGTGATGATGTTGAAACATAATCACTTGATGAGACACCAGAAGTGTTGAAGCAAATGCCTATTTTTGTAGTGTGATTTTATAACATATTTATATTATAAATTTTGAATAAATTATATATATATATATATATATATATATATATATATATATTCCACTTTCTATTTCATTATCAGAAAATTTGGTATCAATGCAGGAAAAACCGAAATTACAAGCATGTCTATTTAAATATTAAATAAAATATTTTCATTAAATGCCATCTTCCTTATGAAGATAGCTATCCCTTCGGTAAGCGATACCAATTCTCCACCGATTTCTTTTCCTTTATTTGAATTGACATGTTTTTTAGAGAAAAATAGTGGAATGGCTGTTCCACTGCCATCTCCACATCCTCCACTCTTAGACTGATTGCCATCCAAAGCTATAGAACCTAGTCTTCCTTGCTTGTTAAATCATAGATGAAGGTGAGAAAAGACGGATTTATACCTTTCCCAAGAAGAGTTGTACGGAATTGAATGCAATAGACGAGGTCAGAACTTGAACTCGGACCGCCGATACTTGTTACATCCCCAGCAGAAATAATAGCCAGTAAAGTGCCATACGTGATACACGCTTGGACAATCATGTCTTTTTTGATTCATGACTGATTAGACAGAAGATTTTTCCCACAGCAGCTGCCATTTCTTTCTTCGGTCGACTGGTTGCCAACGAAGGCTATGGGAACCAATCTCTTCTGTTATTCAACCCATATCTGAGAGGAGAAGAGATCGATTCATTCGTTTCTCAATGTAACGAACCAAACTTGAATTCGAATTCGGCTCTCCGATTAACCATCACACCACCGCGCAGAAATATCGTTAATTAAAATACTCTATTTTTACATATATTAAAGGATGCATATTTAGTTAATGGAAAATGTAGTTTTTATTAGTTTATGTAACAAGTAAAAAATAAGGAATTAAAAACAGCTAAACTGGTAAAACTATTTTCATTTTTTCATTAAAATGTCACCAAGATTGTTTTTCTAATTCCTTTCTTTAACAACTCGGCTTTACCATTCTCTCACCACACCTCTATCTCTATTCCTCTAACTCTATCATCTTCACCCTCTCTCTCTCTCTATATATATATATATATAGATATCTCATTTCTACCCCATCTCTCTCTCTCTCTCTCTCTCTCTCTCTATCCTTCTATCTTTCTCATCTCCACTCCCCATCTCTCTCTGTTTCGTGTCCCTCCAGAACGCGGGAGACCAATGCGTTCCACAGTTTTGTTATCACACCACGACTAACCCCCAAAGACCCCAACATTGGAACAAGCGGATGACGATTACAAAAGATCTCAACCAGCGGATGAATGGAACTACGCATGACAGACATGCCACAGAAGACGCAACTGATATAAGAGCACGTCCTTTTTTTCAGGACGCAGCTTTTCTTTTTTAATCAGACGGTTTTTGAACGGGCTGTGGATTGACAGCGAAAAAGACATGTGTGCTGGGATTTCTTGAACAGCCCGTTCAAAAACCGTCTGATTAAAAAAAAAAAGCTGCGTCCTGAAAAAAAGGACGTGTACGATTTTTGATTGCAACATTTTCTTCTGCACCCACCTTGGATTTTAAAGTGTTTTTAATTATGAAACAGTATTGTCTTGATTTGATCTTGGATTTCACAGTGTTTTGATCATCTAACAATTTGCCTTTTCTAATTTAAAATACTACTTTAAATTAACTACAAGCTATTTTGGCTAATTAAATTTCTTTCACTTTGTTGCTTTTTATTCATCATGGATGAGATGTTCGATTGTCGACTTAATCCGGAATTTGCTGTGGCCGCTAGGGATGGACCATTTGTACAGTGATTTCAGCGCGTCGCGATGATATGTGACCGATGTAAGAGAACGGATGTCGAGGTCATACAACCCTTGAGTTTGCGAAACGGCGCTCTCGCTGTATGCCAGCAATTAAACAAAAAGGAGAAAGTGAGTTTGCAACACACGACACAGGCTCTCATAGCAGCCTACGCTCCCGATTCGTTCAATTTGTGGCGCAGCAACTTCGTCCGGGTGAGACGGCAAACGAATATCTGGCGGATTTGCAACAACTTGATCTGCTTGTCAGAGATCAACGGATGGCCTGCGCATTCGTTTCAGGGCTGCAACAGCATATAAGACGGTTACTACAGGTATCATCACGAATGGATGCTATGACGTTGGAACAACTGGTAGCTCAAGCACGGGCCATCATGGTCGACACGAAACCTACGTTGTACGAAATTGAATGCAACAGACGAAATCCCAGCACACATGTCTTTTTCGCTGTCAATCCACAGCCCGTTCGAAAACCGTCTGATTAAAAAAAAACTGCCTGAAAAAAGAACGAGCTCTTATATCAGTTGCTCAATCAGTTCGCGCGCAGACTGGTTTATGAAGGCGTGAGATTATCTGTCATAGGTGTTCCGGACCAAATCACGAGGCAAGGAACTGTTTACAGTGACGCTCTGAGGTGGTTACTGGTCGATCACAACAGTCGTACCGAATGATGCGATCTTTTCGATGTAATGAGAACGGGTATGTTGCATCAGTGTCAGGGAAACGCCTAGGGAGAAAAGCCATCAGCGCCAAGGAAGTGAAGAATGAGGCGCTGCCAACGATTGACATATTTGTGAATGGAAGAAGATGCAAAGCCTTAGTGAACACTGGATGTACGCAGACGCTGGTCAGTAGATTTGTGTGCCACTCCTGGAGGCCTGAAGAGACAAGCGTGCTGAGAGTTGACGGAAAAAAAAAAACACTAAGATGCTCTGGGCGAGGTCGACTCCAATTGGGTATAAATGGCGCAGAGCCAATATACGTTGAGGCCCTAGTTGTAGACAGGCGGGTGTTGGAGTTTAACCTCATACTTGGGATTGACGCTATGAGCGGCAAATGGCGTTACCATCCCGTCAGTAGGAGGAGTGAGGTTTGCCAGGAAAAAGGCGACCGTGTGCGCAGCAATCTGTCTTGACGAGCCAGATTTCCGTGCGGAGTTCGACCAAGCACAGAATCGTTGGACTGCTAATTGGAAATGGTCCCGGAGAAGAGCGCCAGAGCTTCTGTACAATAAGATACCGGAGTACCGAGTTTCCATATGTGTCAGAAGGAGCTACGAAGCTGAACTTCAGAGTTGGATACAGAATGGCTGGCTGTTGCCCTACCCCGAAAAACGGCTCGGACCACCCAAGAGACTGGTTTCATTAATGGCCGTGATCCAACACAACAAGCAAAAAGTTCATCCAGTTATGGATTACAGGGAGCTCAATGAGCATGTTGACGCATTTACTGCTAATGCTGATGTCTGTGAGGCCAAGTTGAGCGGATAGGCGCTAGGAACATTACCCACTACGGCGGAGGACACTTCTTGACTCTCATCGATTGCGGACCCTCCCGATTTGCTATATGGCGACCAATCGATACCAGGATTCAACTACTGTGGTTCGTTAATTGGAAGCTGTTTTTTGCGAACGTGATCCACCGATCGAAATTTTAACTGATTAACAACACCGCCTTTACTTGCAAGCGTTTCAAAAACTTTTTGAAAGATTGGGGAAGCAGCTGCGTCTCCGATGTGTCTACGCCCCGTCTGGAAACGGAATTGTGGAAAGGTACTACAGAACCAATAAGACCATTGCAGCTAGAAAGCAGTGCACCGTACATGAAGCTGTGTACTAGCATAATGTAACCCGATGTTTCGTCTTTTTCAGCCCCGACCAACAAGATACACAAATACCATGTCAGAGTCAAGGGGATTGATGACATCCTCCGACACGAAGCGCAGCATGAGCAAGGGATGTACAAAATGGGGGAACTTGTCTGGGTCAGGAACCCGAATGGCAAATGCACCACAAAATTCAAAGTGGGCCGGACGACCGGAGTCAACTGTCTTCAGTCAGTGTAAGGTGATGGAACCCCGCGTCACGTGAAAAACTTGCGCCCATTTCCAGAGCCATCTGAAAGTGTGAGCATCTCGGGTGAAAGTGCAATGCTGATCCAGATAGGAACATCTGTGCCAGAATCGTCCAATGACGATAAGAATTCGTCTGCCGACACATCTGTAGACCAGCCAGATTTGCCAAACGATCCTCTTGTCACCAGCTGGCAGGAGCCTGACAGGAAAGGGTGTCGTGATCGCCTTGATGACCAAGACGTATTTCTAATGGGGGAAATCTTCATTGGAAATACATCACAATCATCTGATGAAGACGAATCACTTAAGAGAAGTAAACGTCGAAAGCGACCCGAACCCGGATGTACTCTTTATGATCATAAGATCAGGGAGGATTGTAGTCAAATGAGACCAAGTGGCTGTCAGGGTCGCCATTTGTAATTCCGTCATAGTGCACGTGTTGGTGGTTTTGCATGCGGGAGGACGAAGATGATATAAGAGAGCATCCTTTTTTAAGAACGCAGTTTTTTTTTAATCAGCCGGTTTTTGAACGGCTGTGGATTGACAGCGAAAAAGACATGTGTGCTGGGATTTCTTGATATTGGTGTACGATTTTTGATTGCAACATTTTCTTCTGCACAACCCCCACTCCTTGGATTTTACAATGTTCTTAATCATCAAAAAGTTTTGTCTTTATTTGATCATGGATGTCACAGTGTTTTGATCATCAAACAATTTGCCTTTTCTAATTTAAAATTCTACTTTAAATTAACTAGAAATATTAAATGAAATATTTTCTTAAAATGCAATCTTCCTTCAGGAAATTACATTCCCTTCCGTAAGCGATACCAATTCTCCACTGATTTCTTTTCCTTTATGTGAATTGGCATGCTTTATTGTGAAAAATAGTGGAATAGCTGTTCAGCTGCCATCTCCAGATCCACAACTCTTAGAATGATTGCCATCTAAAGCTATAGAACCTAGTCTCCCTTGCTTGTTAAATCATAGATGAAGGTGAGAAAAGATGGATTTATACCTTTCCCAAGAACAGTTGTACGAAATTGAATGCAACAGACGAGGTCAGAACTTGAACTCGGACAGCCGATACTTGTTACATCCCCAGCAGAAATAATAGCCAGTAAAGTGCCATACGTGATACACGCTTGGATAATCATGTCTTTTTTGATTCATGACTGATTAGACAGAAGATTTTTCCCACAGCAGCTGCCATTTCTTTCTTCGGTCGACTGGTTGCCAACGAAGGCTATGGGAACCAATATCTTCTGTTATTCAACCCATAGCTGAGAGGAGAAGAGATCGATTCATTCGTTTCTCAATGTAACGAACCAAACTTGAATTCGAACTCGGCTCTCTGATTAACCATCACACAACCGCGCAAAAATATCGTTAATTAAAATACTCTATTTTTACATATATTAAAGGATGCATATGTAGTTAATGGAAAATGTAGTTTTTATTAGTTTATGTAACAAGTAAAAAATAAGGAATTAAAAACAGCTAAACTGGTAAAACTATTTTCATTTTTTCATTAAAATGTCACCAAGATTGTTTTTCTAATTCCTTTCTTTAACAACTCGGCTTTACCATTCTCTCACCTCACCTCTATCTCTATTCCTCTAACTCTCTCATCTTCACCCTTTCTCTGTCTATATATATATATATATATAGATATCTCATTTCTACCCCATCTCTCTCTCTCTCTCTCTCTCTCTCTCTCTCTCTCTCTCTATCCTTCTATCTTTCTCATCTCCACTCCCCATCTCTCTCTGTTTCGTGTCCCTCCAGAACGCGGGAGACCAATGCGTTCCACAGTTTTGTTATCACACCACGACTAACCCCCAAAGACCCCAACATTGGAACAAGCGGATGACGATTACAAAAGATCTCAACCAGCGGATGAATGGAACTACGCATGACGGACATGCTACAGTAGGTGGCACTCGAAATTATAACAGAATCAACGCCAGTTCCTTGCAGTTTCATAAGTGGATTCTGCATGTCTCATTACATATCTGCTGAAGAGGAAGGTCATGCAATTGAGTGAATGGATTACTTCTTGGCAAGTTGAGCTCCACTTTAAACAAATTCACGCCGTCGGCAATTTCTTCATCTCTGATTTTCTTTCACCTTCAACCAAATCTTGCAAAGTCAAACGAATGGATGACGGGAGAAGGTTTGGGTGAAACTAGAAGCTTCTCGTCCTGAACCTGCACGTTGGCGGCGAATTTAGTGATCAACGCCATCATCATAAGGGAAACGATCAGCAATGAAGAAATTCTTCGTCGCCGAAGCCCTAAAATTGAGAATCGAAATCAGGAAGCAATTGAAGAACTTTCACATCAGACTGATAACTGATGCTTACAAGTGATAGCGTCTCTAAAAGGGAATATTTAATGATATACGTTTACCTAATTTGCGTCCAATGACTCTGAGGGCGATGCTGTCGAGTGTTGTAAACTTCTGGTGGGGCCATCCTTGGCGGCAAGGCCGAAGACTAAGTACGACCAACCCTATAGACCACAACGGTGGAACAAGCGGATGACGATTACAATGGATCACAACGGCTGAACAAGCGGATGAAATAGGCTACGCATAATGGACATGCTACAGAAGGCGCCACTCGAAATTATAACAAAGCTATCGACAGTCCATTGCAATTTCATAACAGGATGCATGTCTCATTCCAATCTGCTGTAGAGGAAGTTAATGAAATCAAGTATGTAGATATCTTTTTGGCAGGTTGACGTCCATCTTAAACAAATTCACGCCGACGGTACTTTCTTCTACTCTGATTTTCTTTCACCTGCAACCAAATCTTGCAAAGCCAAACAGCGATAGAGAATAGTTTTGGTGACAAAAGCGGATGACGATTACAATAGATCTCAACCAGAGAATGAATGACAGACATGTTACAAAAGGCGCCAATCGAAATTATAACATAGTCAGTAGCAGTCCCTTGTAGTTTCCATATCTGCTGCAGAGGAAGATCATGAAATCGAGTACATGGATTACTTCTTGCCAAATTGAGGTCCACCTTAAACATATTCACACTATTGACACTTTCTTCTGCTCTGATATTTTTTCACCTTCAACCAAATCTTGAAAAGCCAAACGGCGATAGGGAATGAATGACGGTAGCAGGTGAAACTGGAAGCTTCTAGTCCTGAACCTGCAGCGAATTAGTCATCAACGCGGTGAATTTAGTCATCAACACCATCATCATAAAGGAAGCGACCAGCAAAGAAGAAATAAAGTTCTTGGATACGAGATAAAGCCGATCACTTTTTACTTTAAGATTCGTCTTTTTTGTGTATTGTCCCTCCACCCTTTCGCACAAACTTCTCAGATTTGACCAACTGTTTGCTTCGGCTTTTCTTGTCTTCGACGCGTCCTCTCAGTGTTAACTTCTCCAAGCCTTCTTTCCAGATCATGGGGCTCAGAAATTTCAGCTGTTTCAATATTTTCTCTGTAACTGCCATTCTTAAAACTTCTTCATTTCTCGCATGTCCTGTCTGTGATATTCTCAACTTTCATCAGTGGAACCCCAAATCGTTATCTCCCAACCTTTTTGCTTTGTATTCATATATGACGAAATTATATAAATTTAGCCACCACTAAGAAAGTCCAGCACTCTTTCCTACATTTCTAATGTTGGTTTTCGGTATGTAACGAGATGGGCACTGATCATTTAAAAGCATTCCATACCACATCCCAAACTAATCAACTAATAAAATAAAGCGATCCCGCTTTCCTTCCTGAGGTCAAATAGACTTATGATAAGGTGGTGTGCTATGCTGATAACATAGGTATTTATATCTGTCTATATTTCTGAGATGAGGTATTATGTACATTATTTACATTATTCGGACTATTGTCATCATCTTTGTCACCATATTTATTACAACGTTTCGGCCGTTGTACGCTCCGGCCTTCTTCAGGTGGTTGGAATGTCGAACTGAACACATGGCACAGTGGATAAAGGCATTGGTTAGATCCAGTGACAGGACCCAAAGAGTGTGAGTTCAATACCCGGTTAAGGCAGTGGAGAACTTTCAGAGGGAAAATTAACAGGAGATAACTGATAACTGACATCCATTAAACGTGGCACGTGGAACTAGAACAGTCTACCCCAGTGAGCGAAATAAAGGGTTCAGTTCGACATTTCAACCAGCTGAAGAAGGCTGGAGCGTACAACGGCCGAAACGTTGTAATAAACATGGCGACAAAGATGAGGACAATATTCTGAATAATGTAAACAATGTACATAATACCTCATCTCAGAAATATAGACAGATGTTAAAGTACAACCTATATATAAATTAGAACTTTGATAATGTTTCTTCAACGCGCAAAGCAGTATATTACGATATGATTATCTAATGTTGTTCTGCCGGGGATTTCAGCCGTGAAAATAATTGTATATAACAAGATATTTTCTATGTAATTTTTAAGTACCCAGTAATCTTAAAAATTTAAGAAAATAGTCTCCATAATTTAATGTTTTATTTGATTTTAGATCCTTTCTGGCTTTAAATTTACTAGTTATCGCTCTTATTTTCCGATAATGTTTATGATCACCGTATCTAGAAAAAATTGACAAGTTTATAGACATACAAAGAAATTAAAAATTCATTTTAAAAGTATTTGATGATTTGTACTAATTTTTTTTTCATTTATAATTAGTAAATAGTTTTAGTTTTTACTTAATAATCATGTCATTTAGAAAGGTGAAATTAAAACAGCGAAATAAAGGGTTCAGCTCGACATTTCAACCACCTGAAGAAATCTGGAGCGTACAACGGCCGAAACGTTGTAATAAATATGGCGACAAAGATGAAGATAATAGTCCGAATAATGTAAATAATGTCGGTATTTATAGTTGGAATAATACAACATCCTCTGCCAAGTGTTTCAAGAAATAGGACACAAAATAAACCGAAACAATGATATGCATTTCGATTGAAATCAGTGATGGCGCCTAACCTGAATCCATCATAAAAATTCAGAGCGTAGAGTTAGTGTCATATAGGAAGGAAATTAGGTAACTACCAACAACGAGGTTCGAACGTGACACTCTGGAATTATGGATATGTTTTCCGCCTGGTGTATAAATAGCGGCGTCAAAAAGATTTTATAAATTCCTAATCGACAGTAGCAATCATTGCTCGGTCAATGAATGCTGATTTTTCCTTTATTTGTTTTTTTTTTTTGTTTGGCGGCATATTAACATCTGTATTTAATGCCGAAATTTAAGTATTTTAACACAATTTTACGGTCTGCCGATATTTCTGAGATGAGATATTGTAATTATTTACATTGTTCGGACTGTTATCTTTATTGTCATATTCACAACGTTTCAGTCGTTGTGCGCTCCGGTCTTCTTCAGATGATTGGAATTTCGAACTGAACCCTTTATTTCGTCCACCTGGGTAGATTGTTCTTGTTCCACGTGCCATGCCGCTTCCGGATATCTCAGTTATCTCCCTTTAACTCAACACTCCATGTTTTTTGCTTATCACTGCTACAGCCAGGTATTGAACTCATAACTCTTTGGGTCAAGCCACTAAATCCAACCAACGCTTTTATCCACAGGGCCATGTGTCCTCAAGGGCAATAAAGATGAGGACAACATTCCGAACAATATAAATAATGTCAACAGTTTTATGGCTTTAACTAAATATATTTTGAATGCAATTGCATGCCTTCAACTACAGATAAAATCTATTGCTTGTCATGTTGCGATAAAATGGATTATTGGTAATTTTTTTTATAAAATATATGGTTGGTCATTTTGGTTTAAAATTGTATTGTTGGTCATTTTACTATAAATATGTATTATTGGTAATTTTTTATATAGAACTTATTTTTATACTTTCATAGTGTTTTGTTTTGTATTTTTACACGATCATAAAGCTTGTGTGTGCTTGGCAATTTTAAACTAGCGGCTGTTGATTTGGTTGGATATTCACTGGTCTCAGCTGGTTGGATATTCAAGGACTATTATTTAACAGCGCAAGCGGCGGTAGGTAAGGGAAAGTGTCCCTTTGCCAGCCTTCTCAGAAATCTCTAAATATCACAGATATGGTAACTCTCAAGTTTGTGGGGAGGTTCACTATTTGCCCATAGCCTGAACGATAACAGGTGCTACCACACCGAGTCAGGACGGACCTGGGAATAACAGTAAATAAGAGGTGATTCCACACAACTCAAAACCTCCAATCTCCCGATCAGAGGCTTTGCTGCCGGATGTAGTTTGTTGTTATACCCAGGATTATCCTTATAAAGAAACGGCTAATATTACAATTACCAGTAGTATCCTTTCGATTTTCTGATTTATAATTTTACACTCTCCAGATGGGTAACTAACATCTTGGGTTGTCCTTTTTACTCACAACCATCATGGTCAAGCATTTCTTCTCGTATTTTTTTTCTCTCGATTATCATGTCTCAGAGATTTTTCAGTTTTCCTTCATAATCTGTTATCAAAGCAGTGTAATCTGTGTAGTTTATATTATTAACGTTACATCTGTTGATAGTGCATCATCTAATTTAATTAGTTAGGTCTTATAGAGTATTGCGAGACAGGAGGATTTCTTTGGTAACAAAGGAAAGAATACTGAGCTGACATCTGCTCTTCTTTACGACAGCGAATGTTGGACGATTTCCTCAAAGACGAAGAAGAAACTTGAGGCAACAGTGATGTCATTCTACAGAAGGATGCTAAGGATATCATGGACCGAGCATGTGAGCAACAATGAAGTCTTAGAGAAAATGCAAACAAGGAAGAGGCTTATACTTAACATCAGGAAGAGGCAGCTGATGTCTCTGGGACACATAATGAGGAAGGGGTGCCTGGAGAATCTGATACTC